CCTTTCCTGCCCTGCCAAGCCTGTGCTCAGATCAAGAGTCTGGGTTGGAATTTGTTTTAGGGGTGGGGGTTTTCCTTAAAATTCCCACCAGATCTAAAGGGCCTGGTATGACTTTAGGGGGGACCCCACACACTATTTTTTCTTTTTAACTTATGGTCCCTCCTTACTTTCCGACCAGACCTAAAGGGTCTGGTATCGTTTGGGAGAGGGACCCCCATGCTGTTTGTTTTGTTTTTTCTTTACATTTTATTTTTATTATTTTCTTAACTTTTTTTATTTTTATTTTATTTTTTATCATTTTTTTTCTTTTGTTTACATTTTTTTATATTCTGTTCGCTACCTCGAAAGGTAGAGAGCAGAATAGCCGAGCCGAATGCCGTTCGGCTCAGTTCACTTCGGCTCGGCTAGACGAGACAGCAATATGAACTGAATCACCAGAACCACAGGAGTTTTTATAATTGAGGACATTGTATGTTTACTGTGTCCCCATATGTTAATGAATGGGAAGTGATGTACATCACTTCCTGTCCATTCATGATTGTGGACATGGTAAACATATTATCTCCACAAGTTATGAATGAACAGGAACACTCAGTATAGAGGATTCCTGTTCATTTATAACAGGGGACACAGAAAAAGAGATTGAGGACTCTGTTCTCAATCTCTTTTTCTATTTTTAAAAGGAAATATCAGGAGTCTGTTTAGACGCCCAATATTTCCCCAGAGCCCCTGACAGTATAGTAAAAAAGAAATATTTAATAAAAAGAAATAAAAAGAAAATATAGAAAAAAATGTAAAAGTTTATAAAAAATAAATAAAAAGAAGATATTTTTTAAAATTTGAAAAAGTTAAAAACAAAAACATTTTCAGTTTTGGCCTGAAATTTTTTTAACTTTCGGTTTCATTTTCATTTTGATGCCCCTCTAGTTGCAACATAACCTGCACTACTTGATATATGGACTTTTAACTAGTTTTGTGTATTAATGACTTGTTTGTATTTACAAAACCAGACTTTCATGTTGCTTTCATATTAAACATATGTTTTAATATTTTACCAATTTTGTAGTGAGAACTAAATATCTTAAAAGCCCCCCTTATCCCAATACCTTGCATACGTGGGAGTGGTCAATAATCGTTTGATTTTTGGAAAATAGTGTTATTAGTTCCCCAGTGCATTCTCCACATGACTTTAACAATAATGCATTCCTGACCGTAGAAATTGAAAGTACCGCTAACCGCATTAGTGTTACTCTTACAGAAAGGGAGGGACAAATGTCCTCAGTAGAGAGGCAGCAATAAGAAAAACTGAGAGGATCTAACCATTCCTTACTCTTATCAGTTAAAAAATGCAGCAAAGTCCACTGCTGATCTCCTTCTAAAGAAGTATACTGAGCAAGAGCACTGACTTTACTTGCTGAATGCTTGTTTTGGGTCAGAGACCCCAAAATAATTTAACCAAGAGTGGCAGCTAACTAATTTAATTTCTCTCTTGACAAGTTGCCGTTAATGTATGGTTCATTCCTTAATCACCTTTTCCCCCTTTTCCCAGTCTTTGATTAAAAATGCCTTATAATATGCTCAAGAACTTTGATACTCACTAGAGCACACTGGTAAGAGGACGTTTGCAATAGAAGCCCCCAAAATGTGACAGTACAGTCCTTATACTGAATAATAGTAATCATTATTAATTTATTGTACATTTACTTTTTACAGCAAGTGTCGTCAGCTCAGTAACTTTTCTTTTCTTTGTGTCCCTAGATATGATTCAGGAAATGCCAGCTTCGTGATCATAATTGGAGAGGCAAGATACCATCCCTCACGGGTCCAATATGATTCCAGGGTGTAAGTGAAATACACAGCGTTGGCAGTCACTGCATACATGCTAACCGTTGCGATATCGTATAGAACAGTTTTTTACAAATGGTTTATAATGTAGTTTAGTGTGACAATTAGTGTTCGGGTTCCCTCTTCTCACATATCTGTGATTCTGCTTCCTGATTACAGTTTGTAGCTAAAATATTCGGTTATTGTACACTGAGGAGGTGTTATGTTTTTTAATATGGTGGCCCATATAGTGTAGTGCTGATTACTTAAACCCACTTTCTATGAACCACCCCATTTCCTTTTCATACAACAGATGAACTGTCTCTGGATGATATATTTGTGGTATGCTGCTGATTATAGGAGGTGTTATGGGGTTGTTTTAGAAGCGCTGCTCTGTTGCTAACATGTACAGGCTGAAAGGTGTATCACTATTGCAATCCTTACAAAACAGCCATGGTTATACCTCTTCTGCATGCTATAGACCTTGCGTTTTATATTTGCATATGGCTGCTCATTCTGTGGAGACCTCCTGTCACATCATACATGTGTAGAGTATTTGTGGCCCCCACGTCAGTTTGTGCACAGGGCCCCATTTTGTGTAAAACTGTCCCTGATGTGAAGGAGATGCAAAAGTAAATATACAAATATTCAAAGTCCTCTCCTTTTATCCCCCTTAAAAATCATTTTATGTGGTGGCTTCAGTTAAATTCACAACCTTAAAACATAAGCAGTGATCTGCCCATGGATCTCTTAATGACTAGAGGTGGTATAACTAGAAATAGTGTCAGTTCCCTTTTGTCGGTTTCAGCAACCTTCAGGAAAAGAGTTCTCTTCATGAGCAAAGTTGAAGGGAAAATTCCTCTCAAGTACTAAGTGCTTTGTGATGCAGTGGATATAAAAGTTCAAAGGGTAGAAAGCATAAACAATGGAGACTGCTGTTTTGGTTGATGTCTGATTTATCGCTTTCATCTTGCCATTGCCTTTTCTGATTGCAACTACACAGGCTGTTTTTTCTTTTTTTTCTTGAGGATTAAAAGTCTTGTAACCACTTTCAACCATATAAAACTAATAGTAACAGAAAATGGCAAGTACAGTTCTTAACCATGTCATTGCTTTTATGGCTAAAGATATATATCTATAATACTGAATGCACATGAACCCAATTTCATTGTGCTTTATGTTTTCCATTTTTGTCTATCTACTGCTTAAATGGAGATATTTAAAGGGATCTATTCAGGTTAGAATGAAACAGTCACTGCTGAATTGGATTTAAAGGTGTTGTATCCAGCACTCTTCTCTTCATTCTTGCTTAACTGTTTAATGAGTTGCTTACCCAGAATAATTATGCATCCATTGAAGCTGGAACGGACAACTTGCATGCCTCTGTGGTCAGTGATTCAATAAGTAGCGAAGAAAGGGTACAGATGGCATCCCTGGGCACTGTAGGCCCAGGCCAGCAGTGGCCACTCCAATATTTCTATCCTGCTAGGCTTCATTTACTAAAGCAACCAGCAGTTTGTAGAGGGCAGCAGCCAATAAAAAAGCAATCAGTAAATACTTTGAAAATAGACCTTGCAGCACCCAATCAACTGTTGAGTTCCTCCCCATTTCCGATGCAAAACTCATGCCTGGATTGCCATAAAAAATAAATACATGTTTTAAAAATATAAAAATACCTTTTTAGAATTCAGCCTAGGCAGTCAGTGGTAATTGTGTGCCATGCTTCTTGGGAAGCCCATGTCACCAGATTCTTGAGGAAGACATGGATTGCTTTCTTTAAATCTTTGTATGATTTTTCTTCTGCACAGATGACATTGGCATATATCACGTGCTTATACAGGGATGCACGTAGTTAGTGGGTAGGTTTAAAGTGTAGTTCCAGTTTTGCAATTCAATTTGAGAAAACTCCTCTATATGTTCCTAATCACTCAGCATGGCCAAAAGTATTTTTTTCATTATAATGCTTACTTTTTAGATGTCTCTTTGGTGGAGGCCTTTGCACAGATTCCAGGCTACTTTGAGCAGTTTGAGAGTGAATCTATAGTGTCAGAGGGAGGGTTAGACTGAGCTTCCTGTCATTAGCAAACAATGCTTAATCCCTTGGTAGGACAGACCGTTAACAACTGATAATCTGCCAGCACAGTAGAGACCGGGTTTATTAGAGTAAACATTTTCATCCCCTGCAGCCCCCTCCTTAATATTGCATAAGGGCAAGCTAGGTAGGATTTTAAAGTAAAAAGCACTAAAAAAAAGGTAAGCAGCAATTTTTTTAAGTTATACAATGTGAATAGGAACAAAAAAACAAATATAAAGTAGATGTTATCCCAATTTGGCTGCAAGCATGGAACTACACTTTAAAGAAATAGTAAGGAGAAGATTGCTCTTGATGATGTGCATTAGAAGATGACACTGCAGTCTAAGTAAATGGCCTGCTTCAGGATTGCTGTGTCTGGAGACATAGGGCACAACGCCTGGCTGGCGAGTATAAAATATACAAAAATTCAAGATCTATTTTACAGTAGGTATAGCTAAGAGAAAAATCACACATGGACTCGTATACACGCACACATCAGCTCATAAATGCATACACACAATAGGTTGGACTTGATGGACTTATGTCTTTATTCAACCTCAAATACTATGTAACTAGGTTTGGCATCACACCGCAATGTATATAGTTTTTAACCAAATCTAGGTTTGGCATCACACCGCAATGTATATAGTTTTTAACCAAATCTTTTTTTGGGACTGTTTCTAGGTTTTTTTACCTGGAGATCTTGCCAGTAACAGCATTTCCCTAAGCCACTGGCTCAGAAATGGCACTCATAGGAGACCAACAGCACTGTTGCCAGTTGTGATGCAGCAGCTTAGCATTGTCAGCCTGAACCAGGAGGTTAATGGCATAATCTCCAGGTAAAAAAAACCTGGTAGCAGATTCAATTTAACTAAGAAAGCTTTATACAGTGAGGGATAATCTATTCTATTGCAAAAATAGATTTTGTGTTTTACATGCACATTAAGGGCTCGTTTACACCAAAACACATGTTAGAACTTTCTGCATAATGCACATCACATGTGCTACAATAACACACATAATTATGTATAACACACTATTATGTGTGTTGCATTGCCATTCGCTTTCAAATGCATCTCAGCACACATGTACAGTGCACTGCAGCACACTGGCACTTTAGAGTCCCATGGAGCACAGATATATACGCTTGTTGCAGTGTGCTGAGAGAAATAAATACTGTATGCAACATGAATTAATGCGGAAGTTCACCACATTGTGATATGGATGGGCTCTCAAGTCACGCTGCTGCTCGCATTTAGTTGTAGGTTAGTACAAGAAGTCCAGGGTCCACTCAAGAGTTCAGTGTCCGGATTGTCCCATCAAGCATACAGTATATTATATTTGAAGAAGCCAACACCTGACATTATTATTCCAAAATAATGGTTAATAAAATGGGTAATAAAGCCCAGCAATACAAGTCACATGGTCCCACAATGTTCAACTATCACATTTTTCACTGCAATTTGTAATTGCTGGGAGTGGAAAAATTGTTGATAGATAAATCTGAACCAGGCAATCTATGGCCAGGGCAGTCCCTGAATTCACAGACACATGGGGGATTGTATGGCTAGGTTTTCTCCACACTTATTCCAGTAGTGGTTTTATACTGTGTTAAAGGGATCAGATAGGTGTATAATGACTTACTTTGTGCTAATGATCAGCCTATGTTGTTTAGGTGGAATAAACGTATCCTGAGCAGTGTAAACACAATGTGACATAGACTTGCTGCTGACATTAATATAGACAGACACAGTAACAAACAAAATGACATTCTGACACTGACGCAGAGAGACGCCGACACTGATGATAACATTGATGTCTAGTTCTGATCATGCCAGTACATCAGCTTGAAGACACAGGAGAAAGCTAATCAGTAAATAGCATGTCACTTCACAGTGACTTCCTATTTACTGAATATATTTGTTTGTTGTGCTCATTCACTTTTAGTTTGTGTTAGGAAGTCCAGTGTGTTCGATGGGAGAATCTGGGTATAAATAATTGCTGATGAGCCCCATGGCATAGTAATATGGGAGGTGCTATTGCTGAGATAGGTTTTTAAGGTTTAGGCTACATGGCCTCAGTCCTGATCCTGCTTTTACCGCCTACATAGTCTCTCACCTGGAACAAATATGCAGGATTACACTGGCTACATGCTTGTTCCAATCTAATAACACAAATTAGGGTGATTGCCTTAGAATCTGAGTCAGCAGTCAGCCTTTTCACACAGCAGCAGGCTCTTCCTTCAGAGAGAGAGAGAGAGACAGATGAGCATCACTCTGCTCTCATATAAAAATTTCTGAGACTTATAATTAGGTCTCCCTGGCTACTATGCAGCATTTGGTCCTAGAATTGGAGGCTTTCTAACACACAAAGCTCTACAAAGATTCCGGGCTCCAGGGCCCAGGTCAGAAGTTGTGAGAAAACAAAAAAGTTTGTCCAGAATCCATATGGTGTGTGTATGTGTATATATATATTTTCCCCTTTCTCTTAATCGATACAAAAAAGATATAGAATACGTAATAATTAGAGGTGCACCGAAATGAACATTTCAAAACTGAAAAGAACCCGAAATGAAAACAAATGTCAGGCCAAAACCGAAAATGTTTTTTATTTTAACTTTTTCAATTTTTTAAAAATATTTTATTTGTTTTTATAAACTTCTTTTTATTTTTTTATATTTTATTTATTTATTCATTTTTATATTTTACTTTACTTTTAGGGGCTTCGGGGAAATATTAGGGGTCTAAACAGATTCCTGATATTTCCCTTTTAAAAAAGAAAAAGAGATTGAGAACACAGAGTCCTCAATCTCTTTTTCTGCAGCACCTGTCATCAATGAACAGGAATCCTCTATACTGAGTTATAACTTGAAAACATAGTGAAGGGAATTTATCAAAACTGGAGCAGACACAATCTGGAGCAGATTTGCACTGCAGCCAATCAGCTTCTCTGTTTTCATTTTCAAATCCCAACAGAGCAAACTGAAAAGAGGTGCTGATTGGTTGCCGTGGGCAACTGCTCCAGTTTCTGTCTGCTCCAGTTTTGATAAATTCCCGCCAGTGTGTTTACTATAACCACAATCATGAATGAACAGGAGGTGATGTAGATCACTTCCCATTCATTCATTTTTTAATTTGAAGATATAGTAACCATACTCTGTCCTCAATTATTTACAAACACTCAGCTATCACTGATCGCTGAGTGTTTGTACCGCTCTCCATCCTGTGTCAGTGAGCGAGCGGAGCTCAGCCTGCTGTGACACCGCTGGCTGTCTCTGCCCACACCGATCTGCTGATCTGGAGGCTGAGCGGTGTGGGAGGAGAGACACCGGCCACCTGTGACAGTTTCTCTCTTCCCCGCTGGGACACGGAGCAGCGCCCAGTGGGGAGGAGAGAATACACGGATGCACAGCTGTATCGGCCAGAAAATGGAAATGGCACTTTTGGCCGTTATGTTTGGGCAGCCGATATATCGGTGCATCCCTAGTAATAATTACTAATGGTGTATGCAAAATTTTTCATGAAATATATACTTTATATAATCAAATGTCATCTGTTGTTGAAGTAACAATAAATACCCATTAGATTGAATTGCAGACTGTCTTCATATAGTAATGGCTACTTGTAGCATAGATAGTAAAAGGATTTGCTTTCTTTTTACACAGATATATCCGGGTTGCCATTCTTCCGTCTTCAGGTGACATGAGTTGCCTCTTTCGGACCAAAGTATATCCTGCAGCAGAGACAGTGGTGTTTAATGAGCTCTTCAGAGCATCTATTTCACAGAGTGCTTTGCAGCAGAAGACTCTGAGAATGGACGTGTGTTCAGCTGGAAGGACCCATCGAGAAGAGTGCCTGGTATACAACATATATCTCCACTACTTTCGCAGAGAACCCTTGAAATCTATTACTCATGAAGTGGCTTTCAGTTGATATGTGTGTGCGGCATTCAGAAATTTTCAGCATGTCACTGCATAAGAATAAACATTAGCAGTACACTGAAAGCAAGCTCTTTAATCAAGTATCATTTACCAAAGTGAACAGTCATTCATTGATTGCCCAGCAGCGTTTCCTAATCGCCCACTCTGCGTGTTTGCTGCAATGTGGAATGAAATCATTAGTTATTAGGATTGTATCATTACCAGCTGTGCTTTGAGTTTTACAGAAACCTATGTAATGCTTATTTATTTATTTTTTACTGTTTTTAAAGGAACTCTATGCTGAGAGAAATTTTATAAGCTGCCATTGCTCACATCTTCCTAATAAAATGCCACTTACCTGGCTGTCACACAATCCAATGGCTCCTATGCCTTCTGAGGCACTTACCCAGAAGTAGTATGCAGGGTGTTTAAGTGAGATTTCTCAATCTGAATATGTATTCTAGCCCGCTTTCCCTGAAGTAGAGTTTAGCAATTTCAGTGTCTGTATTACTTTCATTACTGGTATACTTTTAAAGAGTGGGTCCGTTCAATGGGGTTCTCTACTGTGTAAGAAGGACCTGTCTGAAGCCAATAGGCCTACAGATATAGACTAGATTGGGGAACAGGAACACTTGATGGAGACATGACCCAAAGAATCCACTGCCATGAAATCCTTCTGCTATTTTGTTTGTAAAGTGCAATTAAAGTAGAACTGAAGCCAAAACTTTTTTAGCTTAGGATACAGTAAGGGAGGGTTATAACTAGCAATGCACCAATATCATTTTTTCGGTATCGAGTACCAATATTTTTTCGGTACTTGCCAATACCGGAAGTCCCATTAAGGAAGCCGGGCGGTGTGTAATGACTCGCCGCCCGACTTCCTGATTAGTCAGGAAGCCATCACCAGGTGATGAGGAAGCATGAAGCCAGCTTTTTGGCCAATCAGGAAGCCGGGGTGCGGGTAATGACTCGCCACCTGGCATTCCTGTTTAGCCAGCTTCCCGACCAATCAGGAAACCAGGCGGCGAGTCATTAAACGGCACCCGGCTTCCTGACTGGCCGGGAAGCTAACTCCATGCTCCCTGGTGATGAGGGAGCATGAAGCCGGCTTCCCGGCCAATCAGGAAGCCAGGCAGCGTGTAATCACTCGCCGCCCAGGTTCCTGATACCGGAAGTTCCAGTATCAGGAGCATGTGGGAAAATGCGAGTACTCGTCCAAATACTCAGTATCAGGAAAATTCTCTAAACTCAGGAGTTAAACCTTAAAAGTCATTAAGTAACTTAACTATTAACAAAAATGCGTCTTATTTGTGTATCACTCGGCTGTAGATCCTCAAATCATCTCTGAATTGGTGCTGACACTGTACTTCCTTCTGGAGGGTAACTACTTTTGTTCTCTATGGTCCCTGTGTGTGTTGTAGAGTAGCCATCACTTCAAGATCACTACCGTGATGTTCTACCACCTCAACGGGCAGCACAGTAGCGTAGTCGTTAACACTTCTGCCTTGCAGCACTGAAGAGTCTCCGGTTCAAATCCCAGTCAGGACGCTATCTCCAGGGAGTTTGCATGTTCTCCCTGTGTGGGTACTCCCAGTTTCTTACCACACTCCAAAGACATGCTGGAAGGTTAATTGGCTCTTGTCTAAATTGGCCCTTATATGTATGTATGCATGTGAGATAGGGATCTTAGATTGTAAGCTCCTTGAGGGCAGGGACTGATGTGAACGTGCAATATGTAAAGTGCTGCGTACATTTTCTGTGCTATATAAATACCTATAAAAAATAAATACAAATTAGTAAACTAAACATGAGATTGTAGTCCATCACGGGAGCGAGCTTGGAGCAGTGGCTACTTTCAACACACACCGGGACCATGGGGAACAAAAGTAGCCACCCTCCAGAAGGAAGGACAGTGTCATCACCAATTCAGAGATGGTTTGAGGATATAGAGCCGAGTGATACATACATAAGATACATTTTTCTTAATACCTAAAGTACTTGAATGCATTTTTTAAGGTTTAACTCCTGAGTTTAGTGTCACTTTAATGTTAAATCAGGGAATGTGAGACCTCATCCTACATTGCTGTAGCAGATGGGCAGCCTTGGGATTTCAGATGTAGAAGTCTCATCACTGAGAACTTCAAGGAGTATAAGGTGCTGGCGTGTAATCCTTTAATATTTCATTCCACTGAACATGGTATGAAGACTCTGTAGGCAGGTGCCGTCTGACTAGTTTAAGTGGAAAGCAGCATGTGTGTAATAGGGATTGTTAGGAAGACTAGCTCAGTAGAAATCCTGTGTTCTGCTATAGGCGATAAAACACCACTTAGTATAGCTGTCACATGGCAATGTTGTATCTTGATTTCTACAGGCTCTTTGCTTCCATCAGAGGAATTTCTCTTTAAAGCAGACAGTGTTTTTCTATTGATTGGAGCATGTCTTTTGGGCAAATGAACTGAAAAGATCAATTATTCTTTTTGACCTGTGCAGAGGCTAGACCCAGTGGAATCTATTAGAAATGTACTCTGGGTATTGTTGGTGAAATCATCTGAAACATAAAAAAATAAAATCTCAATTTGAAGTGCTGAATGAGCCTTTTACCAAAGGACTACTTAAGGGAGAGAGAAAACAATAAGGTAAATATGCCATATTCTTTTTTTCTTCGTTACAGGCTGGTATCCAGATCAGTTTAACAGACTTGTCTTTCACAAATGAAGCATTTACACGATGGCACACCTTGATGCCCTGCCGAAACATACCCCATCAAAAGGAGCTCAATGAAAAGTCAGTATTAGAGGGCAGTGAGACGCAGGCTGCTGCATTGAATATGGTAAGATGTGAATACTGCCATACATTTACACTGCAAGGAACCTCATAGCCAAGCATGTACCACATTGTGTCAGCTCTTAACTTTTGTTATCCAGGAATCTCTTTTCTGTGTGTCTCACTGATTTAATTTTATGTTGTTACTGATTTCCCTGACCAGGACTTGGCCTTACACATCTGCCTGCACCCTGGCCTAGTAGAGGTGGCCATATGGCAAACCTTTACTTTGCCAAAATAAGGCAAAGTAACAGACTCGCTTTATAGCAGCACAAGAAGTTTTCTGTATTTACCTTCCCCTGATTTGCGCCCGCAGCCCTTAGTATGGAAGAACACAAGACACTGCATACCTGTCTCCTAGAATACAGGGTCTGCTCTGCTACATGAGGATCCAGTTGCTAGGCCTGAGCAGAGGAGAGAGTTCCAGAGGCCTGTGTAAGTTTAACCTGTTTGAGAAAGTTGAAATGTACCCAGGAGTTTCTGAGGGCTTTGGGAGCAGATTGGGGCATCAAAGGAGGGGGTAACAGGTTTGCTTTATTCAATTATTACAACACTAATAATGCAATCCTGGGTGCTTAGTATAGTCCCACATAGTCTAACCACCTTCTTCTATCACACTTTGGTTCAAAATGGTGCTATAGACAAAATGGCGATCGTAAAAAAAACCAAATATGGGCGAAAATGCGGTGCATCCCCAGCTTCTCTCCTCCCCGCTGGGCACCAGCTCTAAGCTTCGGTCTGTGTCCCCTCCAATCCCCAATGCTCTCGCTCGCTTGTGTCAGTAGAAGCAGTGGGGATCGTAGGACACAGAATCAATCCACCTGCCGTTGCACAGTGGGGAGTGGAGAAGCTGTCAGGACTGACAGTGTCAGTGGGGAGTAGGAGAGCTGCAGGAGGGGTGGAGAGCAGGGAGGATCAGCAAATATGTAAAAGTTTTGCTAATCCTTCCATGTACTGCTCATACATCGGTGTGATCAGTTCTGATCATACCAATGTTTGTAAATAACTGAAGACATGGTATTTAGTTACTGTGTAAATAATTATGAATGAAGAGGAAGTGCTCTACATCACTTACGTTTCATTCATGATTGTGGACATAGTAACTGTTACTATCTCCTCAGTTTATCAATTAACAGGAGCAACTCCGTGTAGAGGCTTCCTGTTCATTCATAACAGGGGCTGCATAAAATTTCTCTTTATATTTCAAAAGGGAAGTGTCAGGGATCTGTTTAGACCCCTAATATTTCCCCAAAGCTTCTAACAGTAAAGTAAAACATTTTTATAACTTTGGGGGAAAAAAAGTAATTTTTGGTTTCGGCCTGACAAATTCTGAAATTTCGGTTTAAAAAGGTTATTTCAGTGTACCCCTAGTAATAAGCTGTTGGCTATAAAATTCTAACCTGTTTGCTTGCATTTTTCCTAAATGGAGGTTCAACAACGATGTCTGTTTTATTTGTGGGAGTGTCTGTGTTATTCTGCTGGAGCAGAGATAGCCAGTCCTCTAAAAAGCTAATGTATGACCATGTTTAACACTGGAGAACGTTCTGTTGCACAGTGCTTGGAGACTGTGTAGCAGAAGGTTTTCTGCTACTTGACCATGCAGAGGCTTATACTGTGCAAAACAGTGCTGTTCTGTCAAGGTATTCCTCTCCAATAATATCATAATCCGCTGTTGGTTCATAGCCCATTCACTTTTATGATGGCTCTTAAGCTGGCCATACAATGCTATATTTTCTTCGTTCCACCTGTGGGCTGAACAAAGAAAATATAAGGGATTCCTATGTCAACGTTTATGAATGTGTGGATGGAGGAATCCCCTGCTGTTGTCATTGTATTCTGGCAGCTGCCAGGGGTGCTTGCAGCTGACAACCTGTACAACCTATGCAACCTGTCACCTGGAATGGAAGTTGAAGAGAAATCTCACTCATGAGCATACAAATAAAAATGAAAACATGACAAAGAGTTTTTAAACTTCCCCCACTCTAGTAGAAATCTTTTTTTATTGCTGTCTGTATATCTGGTGGGGAGTAGTGACAGTTTCCCACACATTCTGCTCTGTCTGCCAGGAAGTGAGGAGTAATCTCCCAAATTGGAACACAAACAGCAATAAACAGTAAAATAGTTAGAAGTTCTAACTTTTAGATTCATTAACTCACTCTGAAAATACAAACTTTTGAGGTTGGAATTTAAGTAATGACTAGTCCTGCAACAATAGTACACTGAAAGGGGAGGGGGGCATCTGATAAGAAGGCAAAGACATCACAATAACATGACACAAGGGAAGAATCTGCCTTATGAAAATAGAATACAATAGGGTTGCTACGGTCAACCACTTTATTGTAATTATCATAATAATTATTCCTTTTTCCTTCTGATCTGTCACACCAGACTGGTTTTCTATAATCGCAGTAATATGTAAATCCTTTTTTCTTACTTTCCTTGGAATGAGCATTTTTCAAGGATCAGAAATCACTTTGTGTCTTTAACTTCTCAGCCTCCCAGAAGAGAACAAGTGACTCCTGTCTCCTTACATCTGCCTTTGAAGCAGGAGTGTAAAAGTATAGCCTGACATCTGAAAAGTAGCTGGTTTTATTTTCAGAGGTTGTATACTGTTTCATTCCTGCTACAATGGCTGATACAAGATGACAGAAGTCAAACAGAACTTCAATTAAAGATTAGTGAGCTGTAGTTAAAATTGCTCTGTGTCCCTGTCTGATTTCCCTTTCATGATCAGATGCTGACAGGTTTTATCTCCCCGTTTTATTGCAGGATGCTGTGTCAGCATTGCTTGTGAGGACATCTGCGGAGCTGGAAGCGGTGAAGCGTGAATTGGCCCAGGTAGAAGCAGATGAGGAGGATCAGGAGCAGACATGTTTGGGGGAGGAATGGTAAGTCCTCCGCATTCAGGCACATTTCATAGGCCATCTGTAAGCCCACATATGTTGTTTGTATGTGTGATGTCTCCACAGAACACTGAAAATTCACAACTAGTCTACAGTACAGTTTAGCTACATGACAACTTGTGGCTCTCCAGCTGGTGTGAAATGGCAAGTTTCACCATGTTTTGCCAGGCCGGTGGTTGAAGTGCCTGGGGTACCTTAAAGCGGAATGTATACTGATGTTGTATATATTTTATTCTTTAGTTATTGGTCAGGTCTAAAAATAACATTAGTCAGGTAACTATACTGGCTATGAATATTTTTTTATTTTTTTACAACCAGTCAACAGGTGGAGCTGTAGGCATATGTTTTACAGGTTATCCTGATTTCCTCTGTTAACAAAACCCTGATGTGTATAAAGCTGAATAGCTGAAGCTTAAATTCACATACACCCCACCCCCACCCACCCCCTCTTTAGAGCAGGGACACCCACAATTTTTCATCTGGAGATCTACTTTTCAAATGACGAGCTCAATGAGATCTACCAACAAATAAACATTAGTGCCCGTGTTTCGGGAGCTGCAAAAATGCTGCAAGCACTAATGTGCCTGCGTTCCGGGTGCGGGTGATCGCAATGTAGGCAGGCGGGGGCGTGGCTGCGGTGCCATTGACTTCAATGCACCACCATGCCCCTGATCACAGGGAGCCGGCCGGCTTGCGTTCCAGTGCGTTCTAGAGGCCGAGCACTCTGGAACTCAGACTTTGTGGTGTGAACCGGCCCTCTCTCTTGGCTATCTTTTTTCTCTCTCTCCTCGTGCTCTCTCTCCTCGCGCTCTCTCTCTTTGCTCTCTCCCCTGTTTCTATCTGCTCTCTCTTCTCTCTGCTGTCTCTTCTCTCACTTTCTCTGCTGTCTCTCCCCTGTCTGTCTTTTCTTACCTCCTCTGCAGCAGCTTCTCAGGTCTCCTCTCATGTGCCGGCGTCCTGTCCTCCTGAAGTGCTCGTGTGGCCGACGCTGCACACGGGGAGAGGTGTCTCGCCCATTCCCGTCTGCTGCATCTGACACATTCAGCCGCATGAGCACCGCGGCAGGACAGGACACAGGTCAGTGAGCCGATCGCGATCTACCAGTGTTCACTTTGCGATCGACTGGTAGATCGCGTTCGACCTAATGGGCACCCCTGTTTTAGAGATTCCAATACAAAGTTTCAGTCATTGAGTGTTGGAAAGGATAAGGTTTCTTCTGTGCTCCCTCTGTAGAAAAGCCACATTGTACTGGGAATTCTGTGTGTGTGTGTGTGTGTGTGTGTAAAAAATGTAAAATGCCTAGAAGTCCATACTTTAGCACAAGCCTATCAGATTTTTCTTTGGTAAGTGCGTGTCTCCCATGTGTCTTCTTAATGAAGCCGCAGCACACCTTTTTCTCTCCCTCCTTTTTTTTTTTTTTTCCTTTTTTTGCTTGTGGAAAATTCTCATTTACACACGCACGCTTACGGCTGTGTGCCGTAGACAACAGTTGCTTCAAATAAATTACAGAGTATATAACCCGATCACTCCAGTTAATAAAAGTGTGTGTGTGTATATATATATATGTGTGTGTGTGTGTGTATGTATGTATATACCGTATTTTTCGCTCCATAAGACGCACTTTTTTCATCCCCAAAAGGAGGGGGAAAATGTGCCTGCGTCTTATGGAGCGAATCCCGACGCCCGAGACATGCAGTTTCGGGCACCGGGAGAGTAGTAGGAGCCACTGCTCGTTTAATACGAGTGATCTAATGAGATCACTCGTATTAAAGCCGAGCAGCGGCGGCGGCGACGATCTAGTGCAGCAGTAGGAGCCACTGCTAGTTTAATACGAGTGATCTAATAAGATCACTCGTATTAAAACCAAGCAGCGGCGACGATCAAGATCACCATAGAGCAGACGAAGTACAGACGTTCTTCGTCTGCTCTGTGTGATCACTGAGACCGTGGCACTGTAATCACAGCGCCACCTGTCTCAGCGGTCACTAACTGCAGCTTCTGTCACAGCTTCTGTCATAGAAGCTGTGACAGAAGCTACAGTCTGTCGAGTGCTCCATAAGGCGCGCCGGACCTCCCTGCGTCCTATGGTCCGGTGCGTCTTATGGACCGCAAAATACGGTATATATATACACTGAGTGGCCAGATTATTATGACCACACCATCAGTACTTCGTTGGGCCACCTTTTGCCTTCAATACTGCGGCGATTCTTCTTGGCATTGACTCCACAAGATGTTGAAAGGTGATGCGAGGAATCTGACACCATGCCTGATGAATAGCACTGTCCAGTTCTGTGAGATGGAACCAGCTGCCTGATGGCTCTTTCAACTTCGTCCCACAAATGCTCAATTGGATTGAGATCTGGTGATTGTGGGGGCCACCTAAGCAAGGTAAAGTCTCCCTCATGTTCTTGAAACCACTCCTGCACAATACGAGCACCGTGGCATGGCGCATTGTCTTGTTGGAAGAAGCCATCTCCATTAGGATACGCCATCAACATGATAGGATGAACTTTATCAGCAACGATACTTTGGTATGTTGTGCTATTCAGACGTTGTTCCACACGAATTAAAGGGCCCAAATCATGCCAGGAAATCATGCTCCAAACCATAACACTGCCCCCACAAGTTTGAAAGGTTGTACTCATGCATGTGGGGGGCATGCTTTCATGCGGTTTCCGCCAAATTCTCACTCTGCCATCTGCATGATGCAACTGGAAACGTGATTCATCGGACCACATGACTTTTTTCCAATGCTCGACTGTCCAATCCTTGTGACAGTCTTCGGCTTTCATATCCCATACAATGCAGTGTACGGCGAACAGTGCGTTCAGAGATCATTTGAGAGGATCCCTGATTAAGATCTGCAGTAATTTGATGCACTGTTGCCCTTCTGTTGTCTTGTACCAGTCTTGCCACTCTCCGTTCTGCATTAAACATTGACTAGTCGCTGACGGCCACAATTCGCACGTTCAGACCCAGATTTTCGTCTGACAGTCC